AACAAAGTTCTTAAGCCACTTTTGGAAGACTTTTTGGAGGAAACTTGAAACGAAGTTACTTTTTAGTACGAAGTTATAGCCATTTTAAATTTGATCTGTTTATGTTTTACTTAAAGTCAGAAAATATGTGCTAGTTTAATTTGTCTAGTTATTTTGTTAAAGTCTAATTTTTGGGCTTGACTTCTGTCATGTTGAATTTTCCTAACCATGAAGGGATGTTTCAATTATAAATATGGTATCAAAATATGTAATAAAGGACTTTTTGGCCAAAATTTGAAATTTAATTTAAAGAATTAAGAGTTCTTCCAAATTGATTTGTGTAGAACCCTACCTGACTTATCACTCTTCAATCACAAAGAGTGTGGCTCTAAAATCCTAAATTGATCTTTAAAGTATCATTCTAATCTATCCTCCATCTTATTTACCCTAAAATTACTATAATCCAGCCTAAACACCATAAGAAAGACAACCAACCAGACCCATCCTTCATTCATTTTCATCAAATCTGTTGTTACTGATTTTTAAAATCATTCACGGCACATCAAAATATGTTAGTATCAAATATTAAAGTTCATATTGAGTTTACACTATACTTATTCTTACACTATTAGATTAACATTTTCACCTTGACATAATAAACTTAACTAAATATAATAAAAGAGAGAAATATAAATAAATAAGATAAGAACATAAATAAGATAAAAGCTAATTAAGTAAAGGAAAGGAAATAAGAAGTATAAACATGAGATTAATATAAGTAAAACTTAAGTATTACAAAAATACAAAGAGAGAAAGAATATGATCTTGATTTGAAAACCAAGATGCCTATATACATTGCAAATGCTTTCTTTTATAGGCTAAAACTTAAAACTATTGATTTGATGACTAATTGATGAGTGGTTGACCAACTTTTGACTTGGTGACAATACTTATCTTCTTGTCTATCAAAAACATTTTTGATAATGTCAGAATTTGAATCAACCTTGCACATGAAAGTTCTATAAAATTATCTCAGCTTTCCAGGAAAAAAAAATTGAGGTCATTTGGACTTCTAGAACTCAAGATACGGGCTGAAAACTGAACAGTATCTGGGTTGCAGGACAAATTTGGATTTCTACATTGTTGTTAAGATTTGAACTTCTAAATAGCAGAATTGAGTCTTGCGTTCTAAATAAAAGTTCTAGGTCTATATCTTAGCTTTCCATCCATATAAATTAGACCTAAATCTGAGATCTACAGCTCTAGATATGACCCAATTATCAAACAATGTTTCAATTTGGATTGCACCAGCATCTCTTTTCTAAATTTGGCTCTTTCTTTGTCCTTTCAATTTCAATACTTTAACTCATCAATCAATCCTTTTATTTATGTCATAAACTTGCCTTTAGAATGAACATTTATCATAAATTAAAGGTATCTTATATTATTAGATATACAAAACATGTTCTAGTTAAGGAGTTATTGATACTTCAAGTGCAAAATGATGATATAAAACCTTGATAAAAATATACTTTTAAATACTAATCAAGTTGCGCTCTCATTGGATTAGATCCTTTGTTGTTTCTAATATTTTTCCTTATGGTGCAATTAAAATTACAAGTTTAGAAACAAACAAAGTGCTCAAAACCAATGGACATCGTTTGAAACCTTTTTATAAAGGTTGGATGGCAGAACTCACCTGTGGAGTTAGCTGAATCAATCTATGAAGAATAAACATTCCACATGTCAAGCCAATGACATAAAATAAAAGCACTTACTAGGAGGCAACCTAACACAAAAAAAAAAAAAAAACAGATTTGATTTCTTTTTTCTTTATCTTTTATTTTTTGTATTTTACTTTATTTTTATCATTCTCGTATATTCCTTTTCTTTTATTTCAATATTGAGGACAATGTTATGTTTAAAGTGTGAGGGTATTAGAGAATTTTGGTTTTTTTTTATTTAAAAAAAATCTATGTTTGATCTTTTTGAACTCCCATTGGTTCATGGGAATATAAATATTATGTATGAGAATTAATTGAGATAAATGAGGATATAAATCAAATCAATGAGTGTGTATGCAAGTTTTGAGGTTTAATTGGTTTAGGGATTGACTATGAGAATATGTCATGTTGACTTTATAATGTTATATCAATACAAACTTTTAAGGCTATAACATAATATTCTATTATTGTGCATTCTTTCAATGATATGTATCTCTAGAACAAACTTCATATCATGTTACGATTACATTCGCATTACATATATACATGAAGATGATAAAGACATCAGGAATTTTAATCACTTGAGCTAAAAAGTCAACTTAAAGCATATTATCCTTAGTAAGCTCCTTTTAAGCTTGTTTATCTTTTATTTGCTTTATCCATGTATAAGTCTTAACTTTTTATATATTTTCCTTTTCCCTTGGCTAAGGATTAGTAAAGCATATCCTTGTGATATGTCATGGAATTATAGTTGGAAATTATGTGGAAAAAAAGAAGCGGTGCTTGATGAAAAGATGGGCAAAGTTGCCAAAGGTAAAAAACAAAAACAAAAAAAAAATGTTTTTTTTTTATGTTATTAAGATTTTGTATTAAAAGAGCTTGAAATCAAAAGAAGTTAAGCATTGGTTATTAAAGATGGAAAATTTATGTACTTTGATGGGATATCCTATTTATAAAAAATCATTTTTTTTAAATTACTCTAATTCCTTTGGTTTTAACCTCTTTTTTTTCCTTTCTCTTACTTCACCTTAACTTTGGCCCCATTACAACTAAAAAATAAGATATTTTGATTTATACATTACATTTAATATGTTAGTAATGGAGATGAGATTGAAGAGTAAGCTTATAGTAAAATATATTCATTGATTGAATTTGAAATATTTAAACACATAAGCCCTAAACACATGAGTGTGGAGTGGATATCAATAAGAGGACCTATTACTTTGGCATGACATAGACTTCATTTAAATCCCGATGATTAATTGAGTTTTGAAGTTTGCATGTAAATAAATTCAAGAAAAATTATATTATTTATCTTTTTTGATTGTATTCTTGTTAATAGTGCATATATTCTTAGATATTGATGGGAGATTAAGAGATTAAACATAGTTTTTTAATTTTATTTTATTTGTCCTTTCTTGAGGACAAGAAAGAGCTAAATGTGGAGGTATTGATATAACCATATTATTTGATAGTTTCACCTATATTTACTAGTGTTTTGCCTATGTTCTACATGTAAAATGTCTTCATATTCTTTGTTTTATATTTCAAAGGCACTTTTGCATGAAAGATGCAAAAAAAAGTAAATTGGAGATAATTGACAGATTTGACCTTCAATCGATGTTTTATACAAAGCATGAGCTTTAGAGGTCAAAATAAAGTGATTTCAGTGGCATTAAAAATCCAACATCCATACCTTTTTTTAATATCTAAGGCAAGAAATAAACTAAGGAAGAGCATGGAAATCGCAACCTTTAAAATCAAATCTCACAATCTACTAGTATTGACCTTTGACCATTATAACTTGAATATCTTGATCTATAAAAGTTTATTTGATACAAACTTAATTATTTTAGATTCTTAACTTAAATACCTATCAATGATTTAAATTTTAGCCAAAAAGGATGTCATACAAGGGAGATATGATTTTTCAAAGATGACAACTAAATTCTGTCAACAAACAGGTTTCATGAAGAAACGAATCCAAATTAAGTTCCGAAGCTTCTAAACTACATCCAAGTTTTTATTTCAGTAATTTAATTCATCTAAGTCAAAGCTTGAAGATTTCATGCAAGACTATTTTTTTTTTTAGAAAAATAGTTATTGAAGTACTTAAATATAAACTGTCTGCTTAAAGAAGGGCTATTTTGTAAAATAAAGATTAGGGTTTTCTATGATACAAAAAAAATGAGAGAAGAGAAGAGGGGCAGCCAACCAAGAAGAGAGAAACACCCCCTTCCTCTAAGAAACCTGAAATCATGCATTCCTCCTTTTTAATTAGTTGTCAACAAACATGCAAGGTTAAACTCTTTTTCTTGGTTGTAAGGGCATGGAAACCTTAGGATTTCAAGAACTGTGAGATTTATTTTACCTTTTCTTTTCAGTTTATATGATGAATATGTTTATTCTCCTATACTTATTTTTCCTATGATCGTTTATTTTAATTGCTATAGCAGACTCTAAATTATTATTGTAAACAATCTATTGCTAAGTTTGATATCAGAACTAGAGTTGTGGTATATGAACTTGTGAAACAACTAAGTTTAATAATTATGGTAAATCTACGTTATTAATTTTAGAGAGAACATTCAATCAAATCAAACATAGACTACGGATAATTATATTTTCTTGATTAATTAACTTATCTAGTTCTTAAGACTGTCATTGAATTAAATTATTAGTACAGACACTATAGTTGTTTGATGGTTAGGGTTCGTTATATAACGAATCCATTAACAAACAAATGTTAAGAAAAGATAAATATTTAAAATATAAATTAATATTTCATTTTCATGATCAGTTCTAATTTCTGTAGGTAGATATATGCTTGCGATCAAGGTTTGTTTTCTTAATAATTTTCTGAATTTATTTATTTTTGCTTGATAGTTTTCTATTTCTTTTTTTTACTTTAGTCTAGATAATGTTCAAAACCTCTCTAAATTACATATCATCTAATATAAAAATCTAACTTGAATTTTTTTAATGAAATCAATGTCTTGCTTCCTTTATATTATTTTGTAAGTTCTATGTTAAGTTAGGATACTAATTTACACGACCGCAAAATCACAACAGAAAAAATAAAAGAAAATTAAGCATGGCCTCTGCAAGAACATTAGCTATGTAATTAATTTTCTCCTAAGAGTGAAAAAACATGCGTAGCCTCTGCGAGCTATGTAATTAATTTCTCCCAAAGATCATTCTATGGCAGGCGGCCTTTCCATCATCACATTCCTTCATTTCAGTATGGTTGACAGACATTTCATGAGTCTTCCCCTTCTTAACCGCCTCCTAGTCTTCTTAGACGTTCCAAATGGCACGAGTCCGTGCTGGGATGGTGCTTGCATGATCCATGTTTGCTATGCGGGTTCGAATCTGTTGAAAAATAACCTCCGCAGTCGTCTGGTATGTCTGAGCCGTGTTGGTGAAAACACGGTTATTTCTTTCATGCCATAGGAAGTAAACAGTAGTGGATAGAAGTAGGCGAGCTATCATGTGATCACTGTCGTTCTTCTTCTTGTAGTAAGACGCTGCCCATTGAAGAAGGTGCTTCCATGGTTTGCACGGCCACTGCATGCTGGCTGGTGACAAATAGCTCCCCAAACTGAGCTGGTGTAGTTTACATTCAAAGAAGAGATGCTCATGAGTTTCCACGTGAAGACCACACAGGATACAAGTGGTATTGGTTTCAGCCCCATGTAATCTGTCCAAGGTGCGTAGCCGGCCGAGGCTGGCTAACCACAGAATGAATGACTGTCTTGGAATATGGCCCTTGAACCAAAGTAGGTGATACATGTTGTTGGTTAGTCTTTTGTCCCTGATTAATTCCCATGCAGATTTAATAGTGAATTCTCCTGAATGATGTCCTGTCCAGATTAGTTGATCCTCTCTGGCAAGGTGAGGGTTGAAAGTGATGGTATTCCACGTGGACTCGAGTTCAAGAATATTTGGGAAGTTCCAGCAACTGCCATGTATAATGTTAGATACCATTGATGCCCATGAAAGTCCGGTAGATGTGAGCACACGAAGAGGGAGTATATCAATTAGTTTTTTTCCATCCGGTAGCCAATAATCATACCAGAGGGACGTTGATGAGCCATTGCCAATGCGTTTAATGAACCAGCTTCTGCACCCTTCCCGGCTTTGTAGTATCTTCCTACAGGACCAAGAAGTGGTAGAAGGAATGCTGATATGCCAGAATGATCTATTGCGCAGGAGTACAGTATTGACTCATACTGTCCAAATAGATTCCCTGTCTACCAGCAAACACCATATATGTTTCATCGTTGCAGCCTTGTTCCACGGTTTTAGATTATTAATGCCAAGGCCCCCTTCTCTTAATGGATAGCAAATGGAATGCCTAGCAACCTTAGCTCCCACATGAGACAGAGATCGTGCCCTTCCATAGAAATCCAGAGAAGATACCTTATATTTTCCTGATGATGGAGCACGGAAGGATGAACATTGAAGACCAGTAAACTTGGATGGAGAACAAGACCGATTTGATGAGCTGGAGACGTCCTACATATGTTAAAGATGAGGATGTCCATAGCTTGATTCTGGACGTGATTCTTTCTAACAGAGGAATGCATTTTGCATGCTTGAGCCATGTAGATATTAGGGGGACACCTAGATATCTTACTGGAAGAACTCCTTGTTGGAAACCAAGCTGACCGCATATGCTATTCTGAATGTCCATATCAACGTCAGACAAATATAAGGAGCTCTTAGCTTGATTGATGGTGAGACCGGAGATATCAGAGAATTTATCCATGCATGATTTCATAATGTTAACCTAATCTGTGTCTGCATGGCAATATAGCATAAGAACTTCTGCAAAACAGATGTGAGTAATATTATTTGAAGCACAACACCAATGGTATTTGAAGTCAGAATTCTGTGTGGCTTGGCGAATAATTCCTCCCAGCCCTTTCATTGCCAAAACAAAAAGGTATGCGGAGAGAGGATCTCCTTGACGAATGCCCCTAGTTGCTTTGAAAAAACCATGAAGTTCGCCATTGAGGTTGACAGTGTAATGTGCTGTGGAGATGCAAATTCTGATCCAATTTATCATGCTCTGAGGGATGTCAATGGCCTCTAATCCTGCCAATATAAAGTCCCATCTCACAGTGTCAAAGGATTTCTTTAAGTCAATCTTAAGAGCACATCTAGATGGTCCATTATTGAGATGAGCGTTGTACATGAGCTCTTGAGTGAGAAGAATTGCGTCTGATATATTCCTGCCTGGCAAGAAAGCTGATTGTGATGGTCCGATGACATCAACTAACGTTGACTTTAACCTGGTTACAATGACCTTGGAGATACGTTTATACATAACGTTGCAGCAAGAGATTGGCCGAAAGTCATTCATGCATGATGGATTCTCAACTTTAGGTACCAGAGTTATTCTTGTGGCATTTATGCATCGAGGCAGAGAATTGGTGGTGAAGAAATACCTGACCGCTGCAAGGAATTCGGTTCCAATAATGCTCCAACAGTGCTTGAAGATATAAACATTATAGCCATCAGGACCAGGAGATTTGTTGTCAGAATGAAGAACAGTGCAGCCTTGATTTCCTCATCAGTTATATAGGTAGGTTAATAGCTGATCTTGAGACATCTGAAAATTATGTTAGGATAAATATGCTTGACAATCTCTAGGAGACGGGGTTGAGGTGCAGATAAGAGTTGCTCATAGTAGGTGGATGCCAGCTTTCCCATCTCATGTTGGTCATTGATTAGATTACCTGTTGAATCCTGCAGACTATGTATTCGATTCCTGACTTGGCGGTACAGTAGTGAGTTGTGGAAGAACTTTGTATTTCTGTCTCATAGTTGTAGCCAATTTATTCTAGATCTCTGTTTGAGTAAGGATTCTTCATCTTTACATAATTGCATGTAAAGTTCTGCAAGTGCCCTTTCACTGTTTTTGGCCCCAGTTAATGTCGGGTTGCTATCCAAGTGGAATTGTGCAGCATGCCAGGCTTCTTTAGCTTGGGCTGCTCTAATAGTGATACGGTTTGCATGTTGATGATGAAGTTTTCGGAGTTCATTCTTCAAAAAACGAAGCTTGGTTGTGAATTGGTACATTGGATTACCATTAACTTGAGATTCCCATGATGTGCTAACAATTGCCATGAAGCCTGCCATGTCAGCCCAAGCATTCAAAAACTCGGAAGGGAGAATGTCTCTGCCAAGCATTGGGTTGATTATTGAGATTTAGCAGCATTGCACTGTGATCAGAAATGTGCCTCGGCATGAATATAGAATGAGCTGCAGGAAAGTTAGAAAACAAGCAAGAGTTACCAAATATCCAATCCAATTTTTTCTGAATTGTGTGTTCTCCTTGTTGGCCATTGTGCCATGAATATTTCAGCCCTGTGTATGGTAATTGGATGAGCTCCGCTTGGCGAATACAATTGCTGAAGTCATCTTGGTGATAATACCAATTTATATCTCCTCCTGAAAGATCACCAGCGTGCATGATGGCATTGAAATCTCCAAGAACTATCCATGGAGTGCAAGTATTCAGAGAACTTTCTTGGCAAAGGTGGTCCCAAAGGATTGTGCATGCTGCTGGGGTGTTATGGCCATAGATAGAGGTTGCTTTTAAGGGGACAATAGAGCAGTGAGTGGTGATCTCACATGTTAACCACTGAGATGAGACATTGACACAAGTGAGAATGAGTGAGAATGACTTTACGAGGGTTCCAACCGACTAAAATATGAAAGCTAGTGGAGGAGCTAATGTTGGATGTGAATTTCCAGTGTGGGAGGCCTAGTTTGGATTCAACAGTATCTAGATTTGAAGTTGCTATCTTAGTTTCTATTAAACCAAAAATTTCCAAATTGTTTTGGTTAGTCCGTTCCTGGACAGTTTTTTGTTTTTGGACGCTGTTGAGCCCCATAATATTCCAGCTACCTATGCTAAACATTTATTAGGATAGAAGAAAGCTTACAACCATTAGAAGCCCTTGGCCTCTTTACGTTTCAGTCCACCTTTCTTCTTCCTGAAAGTTTTTGGTGAAGGATTGGGACATTCATCATGACTCTTACTGTGGGGTATTGATGCTTTTGAAGTCTCAGCAGTGGAGGCCTCAATTGCAGAGGAGGCTTCACTGTTGCTCTGTAAAGAGTCCATCTTACTTTCCAAACAAGTTGTGTCTAGAACTTGTTGGTGCTGACTATTAAGGCCTGTTGAGCCATCATCAATAGGCCTAGCGTCTTCTAACGTTGGATAGGCCATTTGGGTGTGGTTATAGGGGCAGTGGTTCAGCTACCTAGGCTGCTAGGTGTACAATTATGGCGCAGAGGATTCACTAATGTTTTGTGTGAGTGCTGGGATAGGGTGGGGTATAGGCACAGTATTGGATGATGGATCAAGTATAGGCTGAGCACTTGTAAAAGGATCAGTGAGAGGCTTTATGACGGCTATAACGGGGTGATGCAGGTTGCTAGAAGAAACCACCTATGGTGGCTTTCAAACATTTAAAGAAGATAAAATATTTTTTTTATTTTAAAAGTAAAAGGATCAGTGAGAGGCTTTATGACAGCTATAACGGGGTGATGCAGGTTGGTTGCCGGAAGAAACCAATTATGGTGGCTTTTAAATACTCAGAGAAGATAAAATATATTTTTTATTTTAAAAACAAAAGCATATAATAATGAAAACAAAAGCTTCAATGTACATCCTCTCTCTTTCTCTTTGTATTTCTCTCAATCTCTCCACACATAATTGCATAATCTTAACTGCCTATTTATACACGAATTCAATACAAGAAAATTCAACCTTCAAGTGTGAAGGCGGTTGTGGCTGACGGTGTGAAAGCTGGCGGCTGGATAGTTGGGCAGCGGTGACAGCTGGTGGTTGCCTTTCTTGACCTTCTAGATTGAGTTTTATTTCAACAAATCTCCCCCTTAAACTCAATCGAGGGATGTCATTCCAAGCATGAATTTC